AAACATAGTTGTGAATTATAAATATTGTAATCAGGGATATGTTAATGGTCCGTTATGTAAATTAATTAGGTCTCTTACCCCAGGGGGTCCCGAAAAAGGCAGTAAACCAGGAATTTAAATCATTCTCCATGTGCGTCAGGTTGAGGTGCCTGAAAACAGCATATAGATTTCTTCTAGCTCAGTTTTCTTCACCTTTCAGTTCATTCTTGGCATCTTCTGAATCATTAAAAATAAAATCCTTATGAGGGCACCGGCAAGTGGATAGCAAAGCTCATTATGGCAACTTTCTACATTCAGCTATTAAACCGATAAAAGGTTGAAATGGGAAGGAGGACTGAAATGGGAAGAGACCGTTGTGTACTTTCGGAAAGGTAGCTCTCCAGTGACTGCCCTGGGAAGCCAGGTGAGCTAAGCTGTTTCCCCCCAAAGCGAAGAACTGTGTGGGCAGGCTCCCTAGTACATCACCGTTACACTCCTGAGCCCAGTAACCCTGCAGCCAGGGAGCTCTCCTGCTAAAAATGCGTTACCCAAATGTTAAAAGAGAGTCTGCAATTCGTTATGGGTTGGATTCTGCTGCTCTGACCCTTCCTGGGAGCGTGACTGGATTCCTTGAAGGGTATGATGCTGTCAGCATGGAGGCAGTAGCAGAATCTGGGCCCTTGAAGTAGTTTAAATAATTGTAGTCTTTTGAAAATTCCCAGTTATATTCAGATTATTGTTTGAGTTAGTTTTTAATTAGTGCTATATATTGAACGGACATTCATGCAGAAGATTTCATCTGCAGTATCTCTGTCTCATTTGATAGCTTTCAGGATTATTGTATTTAAAGACAGTGTATGTACCCTTTCACAAGCCTATTGTCAATCTTTTAAATGTATTGAAAATGATTATGAAATGAAATCTACCTCTGTGACTTTTGCGACATTATCCTCTTCAAATGAATTGAACTTCACCTTTGCCTCATTTCTTCCAGTCCCGCTGTATTTCTGTTCTATGAAACCTTGCCGTTAGCATTTTCAATGTGTTGATTCTGTTCTCCATCACTTTCCATTTCAGTTTTCTCAAAGTGAAACCTCTCTGCTAATTCAGAAAAATTTCTGTCTTTATTATGTATAAATGACTTTGCCCAAAGACTGAAAAACCTAAACATAAGATAGAGTTAAGGCCTAGCCACATTTTAT